CCTTATAGTGGAAACCAGACATATGCAGATATATTTCCTGGATAAAGACTATAAAGTACAAGCCTAACATCTGTAGGCTCTTCACAATAAATGGAAGAACAACTGAATAAATGATCATTATACTTTTTTAAAAAAATAGCCATTTTTCCTGGGCGGTGGTGGCACATACTTTTAACCCCAGCACTCACGAGGCAGAGCCAGGCAAATCTGTGAGTTCAAGGCCAGCTTGGTCTATAGATCAAGATCCAGGACAGGCACCAAAACTACATAGAGAAACCTTGTCTCAAAAAATCAAAAACAAACAAACAAACAAATAAAAAACAGCCATTTTCAAATTATATTGGACTCTGTTGGATGTTGACTTCAAAGTCCCAATCTGACATCTTCAAAAATGTTCTTCCATGGTAGCACATTTCTGTATTTGTATCAAAAATTTGATATTTAGCCTCAGGGACAAATTATTCAGTATCAACTTTGGGGAAATCATGGGTGATCAAGATGGAAAGTGTTGTGTAGTATTTTTTTAAATACCAATAGCTATGTGGTAGAAATGCATTGATCTGTTTCTTCTCCTAGTGCTAAAATCTTTACTCTGAGGACAATTTCAGGAGAAGATCTAGAAACCCATTTTCTTTAGACTCCTTCCTGAAGTAGTCCCATTCTTCCCAGGCTGCCCTGCTGCTCTGTAGGAGGATCCCTAGACATTCAACAGGGCTGTCCCTGCCAGAGTTCTCCTTGCTGATATTGAAATGTGCAAAGTTCAAGCATAGTTTGATACACTTTCAGCAAAAAATTATAATAGAGCAATAAGAACATTTTCTGGCTGTTTAGACAAAATGTGTGACAATATAGTTGCTTTTTCTATAACCTTGCTGTGGTTAACAAGGAAGACACAGAAGTAGATGTCAAAATGGAGAAATGAGACTCAACATGTCAGAAGGATGTGCACACAGGAGATGAGATTCAAATTCATTATGTTCTAGATTGGAAAACATTAATCGTTCATCTTTAGAACCTTTGGATTTTCATTTTTCAGGTTTTTTTCTCCCTCAATAAATTCTTGTCACAAAAGCCAGTCCCAGACCAAAACATGCAGGAGACTCAGAGGGAGATTTGGTTCTTGGAAACAGTGGCATTATACATGTGTGCTTTGTGTCTGTGTGCATCCTATTTGTGGTTCAGAATAAGAACAGGATGACTTTGTTCTTGATATTCAAGCCACTTAGGCCCTGGGAGCTCTGAAGATAAGACTTTGTATGACATTGGAAACATTTTTTGGCTTTATTATTTTTTGCTTCTATCTGTAGGGGAAAAATTATTTTTCCTGACATATATTGCAAATTTAGTTGATAACAGCCTATTGGGGAAAAAAAACAACCAAACAAACAAAAAAACAAAAAAACAAACAAAACTATAAAAACAAAAATGAGCCACATAGGGCTGGATCATTAAAACAAACAAACAAACAAACAAATAAGTCAGGAGGAAGATCAACTTTTGAAGGTCCTCAATGTGGCTTTCTGAATTTAATGACAGTGCTTTTCTCTAGGCAGTTAGTTTTCGGGACATTCATTGTTTTTCTTTCTCTTGCATCAGGTCAGTAAATCAGCCTCCTCTGACTTTGATTAATAATCCTTCAAGAGGTTATGTAAGGCTCAACCTTCCTAATTCTGCAACCCTTTAATATAGTTCCTCATGTTTTGGTGACCCATAATCATAAAATTATTTCATTGTAGCTGAAGTTTTCTCCAGTCCTGCCTGGCTCATGGTCAGGACAAATCTCTCTCACCCACCAGTCCCACAGCCACTTAGACCCAACCAAATAAACACACAGAGACGTATATTGCTAACAAACTGTATGGCTGTGGCAGGCTTCTTGTTATCTAGTTCTTCTATCTTAAATTAACTCATTTCTATAAATCTATACCTCGCTGCATGGCTGGTGGCTTACTAGTATCTTACATGTTGGTACTCATGGTGGCAGCTGGCAGCATCTCTTTTACTTAGACTTCCTGTTCCCAGAATTCTCTTCTCTGTTTGTCCCACCTATGCTTACTGCCTGGCTACTGGCCAATCAGCATTTTATTTATAAAGATCGATATCCACAGCATTTCATTGCTACTTCAAAGCTCTAATTTTGTTACTCTTATGAATCATAATGTAAATATCTGCATTTTCCAATGGTCTTAGGTGACCACTGTGAAAGGGTCAAACGACTCCTAAAGAAGTTTTGATGCACAGGTTGAGAGTCACTGAACTAGTGGAAGTTGACAATGTAAAGAAAACCCTCATGGCCATGGAGAAATCAAACTCTTCTCCAAGTCCCACAGTTGCACAAGAGTTGCACTCTGGATGACTGGTGGTGCAGAGTACAGCTCAAGGTTCAGGGACACTATTTTGGATAGAACTTCTGGTATAAAGAGTGTGTAAGGTACCACAGATACCAGCTTCTTATCTATCACATGTTAGGGTGGGTCAAGTTCAAATGTAAATAGCATTTTTTTAATAAAAACATTAGCCATCCGGGCGGTGGTGGCGCACGCCTTTAATCCCAGCACTCAGGAGACAGAGGCAGGTGGATCTTTGCGAGTTCAGGGCCAGCCTGGTCTACAGAGCGAGATCCAGGAAAGGCACAAAGCTACACAGAGAAACCCTGTCTCGAAAAAACCAAAACAAACCAACCAACAAACAACAATAAAAACATTAGCCAGTAAAACTTTAGCTTGTGCCAATTACTAAACTCCTGTAATTCTGTATTTAACAACTATTTCTGAAGGGGGTTACATATTTGAATGCAGAACCCAAGGATAAATTAGGAATTTTAAAGTGAGAAAGGGCAATGAAATCTTTATTTCCAGAGCCTCTCTCACATATCATGGCATGTTCTTGGACATTTATGTAAATGATCAAAGTAATCCTGCATAGATCCTTCAAAGACATGTGATTTGGTATAGTTAATATTTCAAAAATATAGGAACCCACAGAAGAGTGTCACTCTAGAGCCAGATCATCACGTCTAAATCTAAGAGAAATCCAGGTTTTACTTCTGGAAAAAATTGCGTTTTGCCCCTCTCTAAGCTGCCACTGATAAACTTTCCATCACATGAAAATCAATAGATTGTACTGCTGTCTAGAGACAAGTGATTAGTCTCAGGACCATCATCCTGTGTGCTTTAGAACATGATAATGGCAATCAGACATACACCAGGGGGATGAACTTGAGTCAATAGGGATTATTGAGAATGTATTACCTTCTGGATGAATGCAAGAGTCCATCACATTTTTAATGTCTGATAGATCAGAATGAAACGGCTTTTATCCCCTGAGACCTACTGTTAACTCTCCAGCTCCACCTCTAACTTTCAGTCTGGATTAGTAGAGCATGACTTCAAGACCTATCCCATTGGCCTTCTTTCTCACTCCCTGTGTACTACCTTGCTCTTCTCTGTTAAAGTGCTTAATACTGGGCTAGATTAAATGGTTCAGTCCACATAGCACTTGCTATGCAAGCATGAGGGCCAGGATTTGGATGCCCAGTATTCAAGTCCAGGCTACCTACCTCTAATCCCAAGGCTGCAGAGACAGAGACAGGATCCTTGAAGCAAGCTGGCTGGCTAAACTAGCTAAATCTGTGAGCTGTGGGTTCAGTGAATGACCCTGCCACAGTAAATGAAGATGAGCATGATCGAGGAAGACACCCAAGGTCAACATCTGCACACAGGTGCATCCACATATGTGTGTGCTCACGCATATGCCAAGATGCAACAAGCATGCATAACATAATAAGACACACCCAAAGGAGAAATTCTTTATGCCATTATCCTTATTAGCTTCCTCCTAACATAAAATTTCTAAATGTGTGTGCCAAGTAGTTAATCAAATACTCCTTTGTAGCTATAGCTTTAATATGCAGGCCTTCATCAACCGTTGGGCGTAAACTAGAGACTGACATTGTCTTTCAAATCATACATGTCCCCAACAAATATTTCATATGGAAAAGTCCACTTTTATGTTACTTGCTCACTGAAATATGTGTAGGAATCTCTCCTCCCTGTAATAGAAAGTCCTTGTCTCTGTAGTGCATAGTTCCAACGACCCAACCAGATGACTCTGATAGATAGCAATTAGCTAATGAACATTGATGTAGTGTGAAATTTCTAGTAAAAAACAATATTCAAAGAATTTTTTGCATTACATTTTGTGAAGGACATTAGTTAAAAGCAAAATAAAGAAAAAATCATTATTCTATTGTGCTAAGTACTAAATATACAACAGCATATGAATTTGTTATCCAATAGCAAATGGTCAGTTTTGAAAACATACATAAGAATATATACTGACCAGACTGTATTTAGCAATATATACATATGTACAAATACATACATGCCTGTCACAAAAATTAATTAAAAAAGAGGCCAAGAATTTTAAATGAGCAAGGGGTATATGAGAGGATTTGGAGGGGGGAAATGGAAGAAAGAATTTGTATTCTAGTCTCAAAAATAAAAGTTTAATATAAACCATCTGCCTTTCACAATCTACAGATATTATCATGTACATTATGAACTACATACAAAAGTTTAGACAAAAAAATATGTATTTGAAAACAAATATGAGTAGAGTCCCAAAGCAAACCCTCCCCTTGTGGGAGGTCTTACACCTCTGAGTTGTGGCTGCACTGTAGAGTAGAAATTTGTCTGTTGTTGGGCATCTTCATTATGTGGTTTTCAGAGAACAGCCATGATTAGCTACATGTGGCTAGGGAATCCTTAAACTGTAGCTAGTGAGAGTGGGACAGTAAATTTTAAACTTACTTTAACTGTAATTGATTTCAGCTTAAGTAGTCAAGGAGGCTGTGATGTAGCTCAGGGGCAAAGCGCTTGTCTAGCCTATGCAGCACTCTGAGTTCAACCCCCAATACTGAAAATAATTAAATCAAATAAAAGGGGGTTGTAAAATAAACTTCTTCAAATTTAATCAAAAGTGATTTTAAACAACCCAGCTCTAGACAAAGTAAAGTTCCGCTAAGGATATACAGTCTGGAGAAGCACATTGCCTTTGACCTTGGCCTAGAACATTCATTTTACCTGGAAGCACTCCCCTAACTTAACCCACTTATAAAGAGATTAATGATACACTTTCTCCATGTGAGCTCTAGTAAGATTTGCCTTCTTAGTTAACCCTGTCTATCCCAGTTCATTGTACTTTTGCTAATCTGCTCTTATCTATGTTGGTGCTTATTTGTACTAGCTCTACTGGTGTGGTCTCAGATATTGATTCATTGGATCCAGGTGTTGCCCCTCTGACTGCCTCTCTCCAGACTCCCTGAGGATGTCCTCAGTCCAGCCACCTCACTCCACACTGTTATTACCATACTGTCCTCAGATCCTCTTGATCTTCAGAAATTCATCCTGCAACAATTAAAGTGTTGTCATGAGATGTGAATTGCATTTTGAGCTTGTTACACTTTTCCCAAGTACTCTCTGGATAGTAATTTAAAAGGCAGCCTCATCTCCCCATCTCATCTTAACTATTGTTTAAGACCGATGTGTTCTTTTAATCAGCGGGGTAAACTCTCTCCTGAAAGATGCTTCTCTGTCTAATATTAAATTAAATAATCCTACTGGATTGTTCCTCACATCTCTGGAGAATAATGGTGCTTAATATGCAAGGATTATTTGAGAATACCTTGAAAAAAGTTGTAGTGCTGCTCTCAAGTTTCAGCAGGGCAGCTGCTTAGGTTGTGTGGGAAGTTCCTTCAGTTTGCCACTGCTCCAAAGAAAGCTTTAGGATGCAGGTCACTTGTACTGGAGATCTGGGACCTTCTGCAAGAGCTGAATTACAGAAACATTTAATAAGCTGAGTTTTGTTTTCTAAAGTCATATGACCACTGGACAAATAGCCTGTTTTATTGCTGTTGCACACTGATCATACATATGCACACCCCCAGAAAGTCATCCAGAAACTGCAAACACAGCCAACTAGATCATGACTACTATATTCAGCTTTGGGCCTTGTATTGCTTTCTTTTCTCATCACTGTGACCAAATACATAACAAGAAGCAACGAAAGGAAGGGAGAGTTTATTTGACTCTCACTTCACCTGATACAGCCCACCTTGGCAGGGAAGCCATAGTGGCAAGAGCTTGAGGCATCTGTTCACATCATTCTCAGTCAGGAAGTGAAAGAGATGAACACTGAAGCATGAATCTAATCAGTCTTATCAGTAAAAACCAGGAGTCAGTATTGGGATAGTAACTGAAAGATCAGAGAAGCAAAGGAGTAGTACCAGTGACTTCTTACCTCTCTGGGTCCTCTGACCGAATGGGTTGAAATTCTGTTCCCACTCACCTTATGTTACTGTCTCCATACCCCAATTGTGCTGTGATTAAAGGCATGAGCCTCCCAAGTGCTAGGATTAAAGTTGTGAGCCACTCAAGTGCTGGAATTAAAGTTGTGAGCCTCTCAAGTGCTGGGATCAAAGGTGTGATGCCACCACAACCTGGCCTTTATGGTTAAATAGTAGCTACTAGCTCTGCCCCCTGATCTCCAGGCAAGCTTTATTTGTTAGAGCACAAACAAAATATCACACAACAGAATGCTGGTATTCACCTCACTTTTTTTCCTTTTTTCAGTCTAGGATAGCAATTTAGAGAATTGTCCAGCCCACATTTAGAATGGGTCTTCCCACTTCAATTAACCTAATCTAGAAAATTCCTCATAGTCATGCAGTGGTTTGATTCCATGGTGATTCTACATCCCATTAGTTGACAATCAAGATAATGATCACAGAACTCTATCTGAAAAGCGGGTGGAGACATCAATGCTGAAGTTCACAAATTATATTTCTCCAATAACATAAATTAGGTCATTTACAGGAAATAAAACCTCAGCAAAAATATTTAAAAAAATAATCTTCAACAATAAAAGATTTGCTGGGCAGATTCATGTCCCTAGTTTTATCTTTGGATAGAACAATAAAAATACCATCATATTATAAAGTAGAATAAAACAATCCTAACTTAATGAGTAAGATGAATTAAACATAAATGGAAAAAGAAATTTATTAGAAAGTAACACTAAGAATAGAACTGAAAATATTGATCCAGTGTGGTTCTGCATTCAATCTGCTGTGGTGTTATTATGATTGAAATATATGGAGCACCCAGTATATGTATTTACAAAATGAAATATTTAGCACATTTTCTATCTGACTGTCACTGTTATTTTACTACAGCAAAATTTACAAGAAGTTTCAAAGTTAATTTCAAACATAGAATCTGAAATATAAGGTATTTAAATTTTATAGCACTACATTAAAATCTATTGGTCTAAAATGTAAAAAATAATTGATTCTTTAAATAAACAAATAACATAAGGACATGCTTAATTTAAATAATATCGAGAACAAGAAACATTTGCAATTTATAAGAAGATGGCATGTAATGTCTGAAATTTTATTTTTATGCTGAAATAAATAGCAATTCTAGAATATATAAATTACTATTGTTGATTAAAATAGCAAACATAATGCAAGGAATCATGAAGTTGGCCTGGCCTAGCTGCCTTGAGAGCCATGTGTCAGAGGTTTTTCAGGTTAGAGTCCATGGCTCCTGGGGCATAGTGTGCCTTTCAGTTCCTGAGAGACCAAGGCACTCCCTTGGGCAGTGAAGGGCTGAGGCTGCTTTTTGTTTCCCTGTATGTTCCCTTAAGTCAAGGAAATATGAAAGCTTGACAGGACAATTGGTCTTAGACATTACTCTGTTTACCCTGTAAGTTTGCAAACATCTTTGTATCCTGGCAATAGTTACTATATACTGTTTCTGATAAGGATATTAAAAAAATCTGATTTCTCTCAATAAAATTGTCATAGTCTCAGTCTTGCTGTGGCCTCTCCAACCATCCTGGTTTAATTCCTCGCTGCCATAGCAGGTGATCTGGCCCAGTAAGAAAGTACAGGTGCTTGCAACATAAGCCTAACAGTCTATAAACTGTAAAGGAATTTGAAGAAAAAAAAAATCTAATCAATGGTAATTTTGCCCAAGGTTTTTTAAGAGAGTTTCTATAAAATTGCTGTAGCAAATAATTGTCATGGTATTTAACAATTTCCAGATTTCACCAAGTTTTTATTTTTATTTGTTTATTTATTTTGTGATGCCTATTATTAGCCTCTCACAGATTGCCTGTGTCTGAGAGCACCTACCCCACTCAGCCCCATTGGTACTGCAGGACTATCTGTTTCTGATAATACCTACTTCACCCAGGACTATCTGTAGGGCAGGACTGCATGTGTGTGAAGGCACATGCTATGCCCAGGATCATCTGTAGGGCAGGACTGCATGTGTCTGAGGGCACCTGCTCTACTGAGGACCATCTGTATGGCATGATTGCATGTGTCCAAGATCATTTGCCACACTGAGGAGCATCTGTAGGGCAGGACTCCCTGTCTGAAAGCACCTTGTCTACCCAGGACCATTCATAGGAAAGGACTGCCTGAGGCTGAGAGCACTTGCTCCACCCAACCAGTACATGGTCCCAGAAAGAAGCTCTTTCCTGTTTCAGTCCAGCACAGATCATGTTTTCTAGGCAAGAAGAGAATAGAAATATTCCAGAAATGTTGTAGATATAAATTATTATTATAGTGTTGTCCAAATTCTGACTAAAATACATGTGAACAAAACACATTTCAAATGGTGTTTGACAAAGGCATATTAAATGAACATGAGTCAATCTTCAAAATAATGTATATCAGATACAAATAATTTAGCTACATTAGAATCTGACAGGAATTGCAAAGACTTTTCAACAATTTTTAATAGATGTAATACGTGTCTAAAATGATAAATACTCATCAAACAAGAGTCGATGTGTTTTCCAGAGCACATGGAAGTGGCAGTGAGGCAGGGTTTCCAGGATCAGTATCTATCTGTCCTGTTACTACTGATGCATAACACCATCAAAGATTACCCATGTCAGACTCAAACATTTTGCAGCCTCTGTGCACAAGGGACAGCAGATTTTTCTCATCCACATTCCATGATATCTCAGAATCATGGGAAAATCTTAGTTTTAGTCTGTCCAGGCAGCAAAAAAACATAAAATGCTGTAAGTTGCTGGTTTATCAACAAGGGACTGTAATATTTTGTATAGAAGTCTAAGATCAGGCTATCAGCATAGTTGCATCTTAAGGAGTATCTTCTGATAGATTAGAAACTGTTGAATTCCCTTCACATTCTCACCTGGCAGGAGAGAGCTACCAGTGGCCTGTTTTTATTTTTATAAGGACACTAATTCTGACAGTGACAGCTCTACTCTTCTCACCTACTTAATTTTCCAAAGAGCCACATTCAAATGTTATCATCTTGGAAGTTAGGATTTCAGTGTATGAATTTGGAGAAGCTGTGTGCATATAGTTCATAATACACTGAATGCCTCAGAATCACTCATATGCTTGGGGAGCCTAAGATGGGAAGGCTGAGAGGCTGGCTTTACGTCAGATTGTATACACCTATAGCAAGCATTCTGATAGTCCTATGTATCGGGCAGTATGATGCTTGGATATAAGAATGGCAATTCTAAGAGAAAATCTTTCAAGACAGAAATTTCAGATGATGATGATGTGCCTCATAAGATGGAATACCACCAAATCTATCAAATTCTACTGGCTATATGTCTATTAATGAGACTTTGACTAACCGTCCATAATAACAACTAATGTGAAATCTAAGACTAGACTCATTAAATAAGACAAAGTGGATGAATATATTTACTATAGTTAACATTGACAATGGAGGTAAAATGTTAGACCATTATGTATTAAAATATGTAATGTAAAATTTTTTCTCTAATTTTTCAAGTCAAGAGTTCAAAAATGAGATTCATAGTTCTTTATGCTTTATTTTGATTTTGAACAGCATTTATAATTTAGACATGTTGGGTTTGCTGTGATGTTTTGACACTTTATATAATACTGATAAAGTCAGTGTAATTAGTATTCACTTCTAAATTTTTTATGTATGGGTACCTCATGCTTCTCTCTACAAAATCTTCATAAAATGTATAATGATCATGTAAACCACAGTCATCTAATCACCCGTATGAGCTGAGAGAGACCATAAATTATTCCTTCTGACAAACTGCCTCATTTACCTATTTTTCAGCTGTCACTTCCCATACCCTTCCTCTCTTCCTTTCTGAACCTCTGAAACTCATCATGTCACACTCAGGTCAATGTTTTTTAGCTCCCATCTGTGAAGCAGAACACTTACTATGTCTGTCCACATTAGCTTCCTTCCTTTATAACAAGTTCCTCCTGTGAGTCTTACATTTTTTTGTGTAGATTCATGATGGTGATTATCTTTTTTTTTTTTTCTATTGGTGGTGGGGCTGTTTGGGAGGTTATGGAACCCATAGGAGGTTCAGTCTTGCTGGAGGAGGGACATCAGTTAGAGTCGGCACTGAGGTGCTATAGCCTCTCTCCATATCCTGTCCTCTGTCTCTGATCCTATGAAGATGAAGGTGTGCTCAGTTTAGCTTTCTGCTCCTGTCACCATGCATGCCCTGCCCGCCATGATAGACCCTCTGGAACGAGAAGCTAAAATAAACCCTTTCTTCTTGATGTTGCTTTTGGTTGTTGTATATTATCATATCAACAGAAAAGTAACTAACACAATCTATACCTAATCCACCAACTTCATAGCAAATTTCTCAAGTTACTGATAAAAAATAATATCAACTTTAGTTTTCTTTACACTAGGTGGTTTTATATTGCTGCTCCAACAGAACTGTTGTGGGTGTTTTTCTTTTTTTCTTCCAAAGAAATAATCACCACTGC